TTCCCAAGGAAGTACCGTTTTTTTTCTCTTTAATATTATTTGGGAGTTTGTATATGCTTTTATTCTTTGTCTCTGCATGTTTTATACATTGAGGACAATGTATGCTTTAGGTGTGGGGGAGGAGTTAGTGTGTTTCAATTTGTCTTCATTAAATTGCTTACTTAAAAGAATTAAACTTCTTTTTGAAAAATTTTTTTTCAAAAATTTGAGTCTGAACCACTGTTTTCAAACGTTTCAACTGTTATGTTGCTAATCATCATAGGTTGAAAAGTGAAGCATGAAAAACATAAATTTTTATTTGCTATGTACTATTAAGATATGTTGTGAATTTAAGTGTTGAAGTTGATGATTGGAATATTATCACAAAAAAGTTACCTTAAATTGAGTGATCTGAGCTTTTCTGAGCGAATAGAGTTAGTGTATTTGAATGCTCAACATTTTTATGTGGGAAGTATATCATATCTAGTATGGATTAATCTTGAATTTGCCGAGCTAGGACGCATCTGTGCTCTTGTAGATGGCTTGCCACAAGAATAAAGGCACTAGGATTTAGCCAAGTTAGCTTAAAAAGCCTACCCATTTATGTTTACCCCTAGTGAACCATTCAAGCCTTGACCGTTTTTCTTTAGCTCCAGATACATTAAACCATTAGCCTTGTTTTTTTTATCCTTTACCCTTTTGTCAAGCTCTGGATTAGGTTGCTTAAACTGGGTTTGTGGTAAGAGTTGGACATTATAGTGGCATGTGTTCTTGTTTTAAGTTATGCATTTGATGTAATATAGGGCGTGCGAAAAAAAAAATGCAAAAAAAAAAGTGAAAAAAAAGAAGGAAAAAAATCGCATGAATCCCTATTTTCTACTTGTTTAAGAGTATGGCAAGTTCTTAATTATATTTTTGAGATGCCATAGGTTTTTAAATGTAATATGAGAAGTTTACTGCAAGTTCTTATGCAAAGCACACTTGAACTCTGAAGTGTGAGGATGAGCAATGTCATTATATGGGATATATGGTAAGATGGTAGAGTTTAAGTATACTTGGTCTATCTTGACAAAAATAACCCTACATCCATAATTATCCACCCTTTTCCTTACCTAAAGCCCCATTACAACCCTATGTAAAGACCTTTATTGGTAAGTTTATTTGCTTGGTGTATGATGATGTGACGCCTTTTCAAATTCTTGTGTATTCTGCTAGATATTGATTTGTGTGAATTGTTTGATACGCCACACTTGAGAGAAAAGAAGAAAGAAAATGAGAGAACTTACTGGTGAGGTGATTTTGTTCCAATCATTGATGGAGTTTAGGGATGAAGCGACTATCTTGTTGACTATGCATAGTAGTAGAGGAGCTTATGTTTGATTGCCTAATTAATTAAGTTTATGATTGATATATGACATGGTGGTTGAGATTGTATTTTAAATGATTTCTAAATCTTGTGGTTCAAAGTAGTGGTTTTAAAAGTTCTTCTTTTTAAGTTTGCTTGAGGACAAGCAAAATCTAAGTGTGGGGGAGTTGATAATATTAATATTAGCATGATATTTGTGGTGGTTTATGTGTTGTTTTGAATATTATCTATGCTAATATTAGTGTTTTGATTCTTAATTTGATCATAGGAAGGATTTGGAACAAAAAGAAGAAAAGTGTTGATTTTGAAGAGATTTTGAAGGTTTTTGAATCAAGTTTCAAGTTAGAGAAGAAGTGGTTGATTCCCGTGTAGGCACACAAAATCCATGCCAAAATCAATGAGGAAGCAGGAAATTCCAGAAACGGTGTGGTATTCCCGTGTGGGCACGCTGAAACAGGGACTAAAGTGCAAAATTTCCAAAGTTTTGGGGTCAATTTGTAATTTTGGAAAACTTCAGGGATCAATTTGCAAATTCTGAAAACTTTAATTGGTCTCTGCGGATTTTGAAGAGGCTGAACGTGGGGATGCCCTAAATTTGCATATAAATAGTTTTTTTCTTATTATTAAGAAGAGAGAGGAGAAGAGGCACAACACAGGGAGCAACAGCTGGAGCTCAGGACAAGGATTTCTCTCCGTTTTCGTCAGTTTTAGCTTTGTAATGTCAAACATCAATTCTTGTGTTGTTGATTTCACCATGATTAGCAACTAAACCTTTTTTTCTAGTTAAAGGATTTTATTGAAGCCTTGATGTTATTCAATTGTGAGATCTAACTGTTTGCTTTTCACCAACGAATTTTGAGTATTTATTTATTCTCTTTGATGTGTATTGATGATTATTTGACATTATTTGAATAGCTGGTAGCATTCAATTCTCCTAGATAATTTAATTTGTTGAACAACAAGGTTTGTTTGTTCCTTAGAAGAGACAATGCAAATAATTACTTGGTAAGTAGTTTACTTGTGTTGTGAGAATAAATAATCAATTTTTAATGAAACAAGGTTTGTTTGTTAGAAATTGAATTGGGTCTTTGCTTGTCAAAAACTGAATCCTAGGATGTTCCAGGTAGTGTTTTTGGCTATAGAGTGATTAATGAAGGTTTCTTAGTCACTGGTAGTTAAATAAAAAGACTGAATTGTTAGGAGGTTCCAACAACGAAAACTAATATATTCATTATTTGTTGAGTTAATCTTTGCATCAATGATCAGTTGGATACATCAAGGTGGAAATTATTCCTTTGACTAGAGTTGCTCTTATTATTGATTTTCCAAAAGTATCTTTTATTGTTTGCAAATTATTTTTGTTATTCATTAGTTACAAATCCAAAATCTCTCCCATTTAGTTACTTTGCTTTTGATTAGAAATATTTTCATTTCCTTGCTCCCTGAGGAGACGACTCTACTCATTGCTATACTATTAAATTTGTTAGGAGTAGAATCTTTTATTTGGTTTGACACCCACCATACATGCATATGAAGAACATATAAAATATTGAACTTACAGTGAGTCCCCTTCATTAAACACATATTGAATCACTTTTTGGTGTGGTCTATCAAAGTAACCTGAAATCTCCTGGAAAATTATACATAATAAGCAAATACAAATTTTTTATAAATAAAATACTACAACAAAACATTATAGCATACCTTTATGACATCTTGCATATTCACCGTTGGTTCTGCCTCTAAGTTGCCTTCCGCCACCTAGAAATGTCATAGCAACTATCATATTATACTTAAAATTAACAAACATCAAACAATTTACCCGAAGTTCAGGACATTGACTCCTCGAGTGGCATCCCCTGTTACAGAAGTCACATTTAAGGAGTGCTTGTGGACAATGATCAAAATCATGTCCAAATACATCATGATATTCACAATACAGCGCATTCTCATCAAATGGTTCGGCTTCTTCTAATGGCGAACTAGTTGTGAAGATGACCAAAAAGAATAAATTATTATGAGTACTATATCATTACCAAATATGATACTTAACAACAAAGGTAAATCGATACCTTTTCTTTGCAAAGTGGTGGTGCCTTTGATGTGTTCATTACCTACAAATCATATAATATTGTGAGACCTACCAAGATTAAACACACTAAAAAACTAAAATTCAAAAATATATACATATATATTTTAACTAAACTTGTATTCAAATTAAACAAACCTTCTCATCCTTAACTATCTTTGTGTCAATGATACATACATCTGCTTCTTCCCATTCTGAGCAACTCTTTGTCTTAGCAGTTGCATCCTTTGGCCCTTTATTGTTCACTTTCAAAGTTTGTACTCGTGCAGCTGATGTGTTCATTACCTACGAATCAAAAAAATATTATGAAACCTTCAATAAAAACAAGATTAAAACACTAAACAAGTAAAAGTCAAATATACATATAGTGAAATTTTTACTCGTATTTTAACACACCTTCTCATCATTGGTTTCATTCCAAGATTGATCCATTTGAATGAATTCGATATCTGCTTCAACCAATTTAGGACAACTCATTTTCTTTGCAGTTGCATCCTTTGGTTCCTTGCTTTTCACTTTCAAAGATTTGGATTTACTACTGTGATGCAAGTTATGGCTTCTTTCCAATTGTTTCATTGTGGAAATAGTTGAGGGTGATACAAACTGTTTTGACCTGATTCCTAAAAATTCACTCAATGAGAGTATAGGAGCTTTCTCCGGGGTAGTATATTTCGTACTTTCTCCCAAGTTAGCACTCAAAAGGAATTCAGGATTTGGCGTGACCTTTCTAGACTTTCTTGGAGGAGCCAAATGATTTGGACCATCTTGTGGATTTAATTCTGTTGACCATCCCGTAGACAATATAGCTGGACCATCCTGTGGATTGGACGCATCCTTTTCCTGAGCAAGTCTTGGAAGTGAATCTGGTTCCATGGATAGAGGTCCAGAAGAGAAGTACCTAAAATAACAAAAAAACCATACGTGTTGGCACTCTTATACGATAAATCTTTTAGTCAAACAAGCTAGATAGGTTTAGCTGATTCAAGTTACACTATATCAACTTTTCAGTAAATTAGTCTGGTTAGAGTATTTAAATTCAGAAAAAAAAAATAAAGAGCATGTTTGATGATCCTTGAATACCGAAATAATCTTTATCAAACATAAACAAAATCTACGATAAGTACATTCAGGAATCATCCCAAACCAGCTGCAAAATTCAGAAGTACATTCGAAAAAGCATCCCAAAACAGCTGCACAATTCAGAATTTCAACATTGACATGTTATGCTGAAATGAGTTTTTTTTTTTTTTAAAAAAAAACAGATTATGGTTCCATGTAATGGTCCATTAAAATTGAATCTATTTATATTGAGCATACAATAGTTTCATGGAAAAAAAAAACTTAACAAAAGTCTTCTAAATAGTGGGGAACCAATGTTCCAAATCAGCAGCTCACGCTAAAGTATTTAATAATTTTCAACAGGTCTTGAGAAATTTCGGAAATTTTTAAACCATATCCCTGCTTCATTATGAAACTTTGAAAAATCAGACAATTTGACGCACAAGAAAAAACTCAATAATCTTAATCAAATAATGCTTGCAAACATAAAGAGCCACAACCATAAATTCACACAACCATATGAAGAGTACCTATGTTGTAATGCTTGTTGTGCTGAAATCCTGGTTTCTGGATCATAAGTGAACATCTTTGATAAAAGATCCAAGGCATCATCAGTAGCCATTGGAAAAAGTGTGTGGAGTGGTTGCCTAGCAACATCTTTATATTCCAGAAAATGAGGCAAATACATCATTCCTGATTGCTGTGAAGGCTTTGGAGTTCCAAAAGCAGCAAAGATCTTCCCCACTTGATCAATATCACTATTTCCCTGTAGCATGTTTGGTACGAAGAGAAGGTAACATGTTCATCACGAAAAGGTCAAAACGCGAATGCTTTTCAACATGTAGTTGTTAACTTGTATTCAAGAAATTTCATTCCATTCACAAATCAACTTGACGTGTTGTATTATCTTCATCTTTCAATTCAAACAAGTGAAACAAAGCCATCCAAGATTTCAAGGTAAAATGGAGAAAAATACAACAAATGTCTACAACAAGATTAAACATTGTCTTTCACAAAGGATTTGAAAATTAAAGAGAAGGAGGAAGGTAGCAGCTTATATACTTTTTTTAATCCAATTAGTTGGGTAGATTGTAAAGAAATCATAAAATTGGGGCACATATATCTTTTAACTTCCACCAATGTAGTAAAGCATAATCTCAACCAATAAGTAATGCACGCTCATATTGCTTGTTGAATTCAAGCAAGAAGGAACGCTAACAAACTATTCATTTGAAAAACATAAATAATTACTCATAACTTAAACAAGTCAATTAGATGGGCTATTACAAGCTATCCAATTTCTCAGGTGTTAGTCATTGTAATAAAATTTTACCTGCATGAATAGACGTCGCAATAAAAGTTCAGCAAATATACAAGCGGCAGCCCGAATATCCACGCTTGGACCGTATTGGTTTGAACCAAACAATAGCTCTGGTGCCCTGTACCAACGGCCAAATACCTATACAAATGCAATTATATGTACCAAAATTTAGAATTCTTCCATCTGCAGCGTTAAAAGGTTAGGATAAAAAAATAACTAAAACTCTGCAAAAGGGTTTAGGGACAAGGAAAAATAATGCTTTAATGTTAACTCTGAATTTAGCACAAAGATGAATAAAAGGCCATATTGAAAGCACATTTTGTAGCAAATCGTTCATTCTTTTAGCAAGATTTTAAAACAATGATAATCTAGCATAAACAGAGATGAATTGTATCAATAGAACTCGGGCAACGAGATTAAAAAATCTGAGGACATGAGACTCCAAAACAGCTCAAACCAGGTTTTTTCGACTGAAATTTGGTGATCGACATGTCCTGTTTAAACTGAATTTTTGCATAGTCTATAACTCCGTTTTGAAATCCGTGAAATCCACATTAAACTACAATAAATGAAGAAGAGTTCCAGGAAAAAAAACCCTAGAAAAGAGTTCATGATCTCAGAGAAACAAGCCTACTAACAGAGGGACTGAACCTGATTTTTCTGCACTTTTCAGGGATGATTATGTCATGTTTAAATTAGATTTTCGCACAATCTAAAAGTCCGTTTTATAATCCAAAAAAACCAAACTAAACTAGAGTAAATATAGGAAGACATTCATATAAATAAATTATATAAAAGGATTTGAAAAATAGGAGAACATGGATGCTCAACAGTCGGACTCAAATCTGATTTTTTTAGAAAATATTAAGCAAACATGTCTCCTATCCAATTACCTGCGATCACTTCCAAACCAATCATAACTTCTTAGATCATTCATTATTAAATTCCATATTCTATAAAAAAATTTGAGCAACTGAAAATGGCAACGAGTCCAAGAATCAAACATTTAGCTAGCATACTTCTCTATGCCATTGCACATTACCAATTAACTTAATCAATTAAAATAATATAAGACTAGAAGCATCATCACTCTCATTCATCTTCCCTTTCTAAGGCAGATAACACGTTCATCTAGTGCACTTGATGGAAACAACAACAATTAGGATTTTCAACATTAAAAATAGTCAATCAATTACGGATAACACAATAACAACAACCAGCATCTATCATTCTTTTATCTTTTCATTTCCTATGTTTTATTACCTTGGCCATAGGCCTTCCCTCCACCCTTAAAGAATGAAACGTACCTGGTGACCAAAAATCTTGTCTGGACTTCCAAATATCCTAGCCAAGTCGAAGCCGTCAAGCTTCAGCTGTCCGCGAGGTCGAATTAGTAGATTATCTGGTTTTAAATCCCTACAAAAAATGAAACCTGATTACAATAAAGAATCTAAGAAGAACCTTGCTGACCCAACATTAGGAATGGACTTCAGAAGAAACTTACAAATGTAGAATTCCTTTCTTATGGTCGGATGCCAGCCCTTTCAAGGTCATCTGAATATATGACCTCATATCAGTTGCCGAAAGCACAATATTACAATCACGAATTACACCCCCTAAATCTTTCTCCATGAACTCAAACACAACATTCAAACTCCCTTTATGAGGAAAAACATCAATGAGCTCAATTATATTCGAGTCCTTGAGCTCTTTCAACAGATTAATTTCCTTAAGATCCGTGATTTTAAACCCTTCTGTCTGCTTCCCGATCCGAATTTTCTTAATTGCCACTATCTGCCCTGTCTGTAACGCCAAATATATAATTTCTATTTTTTAGCAATTAATATGATTAAAAACATTTAAAAATGTTCATCCAAAACAAAGAACACCAAAATAATTTTCTATACAAGTCGATTTCTTTCAAGTACATTTACAAACATATTAACAGAATTACATAATTCATTGATTCCTTGGCATATGATTAAATTCTGAATTCTCATTAAATTCATTTGTGAAACAGCAAATGTAACACTATCCAGTTTGGGATGCAGAGTTACAAAGCCTCTATCCTTTGGAATTTCAACAAGGACGAGCATCAACATCTTTACTGTCTCAGCCTTGTACAGGTGTGTGAAATACTAAATTACAAATTCACATTTTTATCCAAAAAAAAAAAAAACATTACTACTATATCTTTAGCTAATGAAATCAATTAACAGGATTTTACACCTTGCAGGTTTGGATAGGGGAAGCAATGTAAAGGTAGAGATGTGAATTAGAAAAGATGACGAAATGCCTATTATGAGTTGAATCACAAAAACCCTGATTAATTTCCTCAATTTTAAGTACATAAAGTAAACATTGTATGCTTGCAAACTAAAGTATAATCATAATTACAATATAAGTGCCCTGCTGCAACCTGGGAATGTTAGATTATAGTTATCAGTAGTTCTGGGGAGCTACATCAAAATACCAAATAATAAGATTATTCTATGCATTGAGACATAATAGTAGATTGAGAGCTTGTGTGGACATAATCTTATTTTGTATCTAATCAAAATACTTCCAAATCCAATACAATTGTACAAGAAACATAAGAAAACAAAAAAAAAAAAACCTTAAACATCAAATTAAAAAAAAAAAGATGAACATCAAATCAAAATTCACAAGAGCAGGTTGTACCTTAGTGTCGAATGCTTTGTAAACAACACCATATGTGCCTTCACGGAGGACTTCCTGTTTAAGGTAACGATAAAAAATCTTCTTGGTTTCCACCTCCAACATTCTTATTGACAAATGTGCTCATTAACCTGGACGAGTGCATTAACTATTAGTCCAATCAAGGAAGGTTTAGTTCACATCAAAACTCCAAATACTTACTTCTTGAAAAATTAAAATTAAAGAATCATTGTGTCACACGCAAGATATACAACGGATTAATAGGAGCCGAAGTGAAGGAAGCAATGAACATCAATAGAAATTCATTGAAGTTTCATTCAAGTTTCAAAAGTTCAGAAATCAACAGAAATAAATCTCCTAAAACAGCACATCAAACCAGGATTTTTTTTACTTTAACTTTTAGATTTTAGGTCATGTTCAAATCGAGTTTTCTTTCAAACCATAGCTCCTTTTTACGAGCCACAAAAATTGAAATAAACCACTTCAAATGTAATATATTTTCATGGAAAGAAACCTCAGAAAACAAATAAAATAATAGGATTAATTAACCCCTAAACAGAACATCAGAATCTGGATTTTAGACTTTCAGTTCAGACTTGTACTGTTCAAATCAAGTTTTCGGACAATCCACAGCTCCGTTTTGAAATCCGTAAAAACAGGAATAAATTACACTCAATGCGGAAGATATTCATATAAAAGGAATCCTTGAAAAAGTTAGCGAACTAAGAGAAAAAGGTCTTGCAACAGATGACTGCAAATCTGATTTCGGCACTTCCTAAGTATGCATACTCTGCTTAAGCAAGTTTCTTGAGATATACAGCTTTTCAAGTCATTAAAATTGTGAGAAACTATGATAGGTAATGAGAGATTTCACAAAAAGAAAACAGAGAAAAGGTTCAGAAATCAATAGAAATAAATCTCCTAAAACAGTACATCAAACCAGATTTTTTTTTACTTTAACTTTCAGATTTTAGGTCATGTTCAAATCGAGTTTTCTTTCAAACCATAACTCCTTTTTACGAGACGCTAAAATTGAAATAAACCACTTCAAATGTAATATATTCCCATGGAAAGAAACCTCAGAAAAAAATTAAAATAATAGGATTAATTAACCCCTAAACAGAACGTCAGAATCTGGATTTTAGACTTTCAGTTCAGACTTGTACTGTTCAAATCAAGTTTTCGGACAATCCACAGCTCTGTTTTGAAATCCGTAAAAACAGGAATAAACTACACTCAATGATCAAGATATTCATATAAAAAAAATCCTTGAAAAAGTTAGCGAACTAAGAGAAAAAAAGTCTTGCAACAGAGGACCGTAGATCTGATTTCTGCATTTCCTAAGTATGTATACTCTGCTTCAGCAGGTTTCTTGAGATATACATAGCTTTTTACAAAATAACATAGGCGCACAAAGAGCGTTTTACAAAAGAAACTTGAATATAAACGACTAAAAGACATGAGAGTTGAGTTCTCCCAAAGAGTATATCAAATCTGAATTTTGTACTCATGGGACTAAATTCTTATCAGCCATCATCTTTACCGCTAACTTTCTTTCAATGTAGGAACTATTGCTAATGTACTTCTGCCAAAAAAAGCCATTCAATTCATCAAAAAACACAACTTCAATATATACTGAAACTCAACACGATGATCCAATAAAATCAACAAGCTGTGTAATAATCCCATTAAAAAGGGAAAAGGAAAAACACAAGACACCGAGGCCTTCAATTCGATGAGTGAAAATTGAACCACAAAGCAAAGAAGCATAAGAAGCTCATCAAAAACACAACTTCGATGACCTCAGCTTCCACATAGTCGGATTGAATGTTTATAACAGAAATTTAGATGATCACTTACCAAACTGCCTCTAAAATTGCTTGCCCGCCTCAAATAGCTTCTCAAATTTAAGTAAAGATTTCTCCTTGCCAGCCTCTGAATTGATTGGATTCGGCTACATATTAAGGAATTATATATAGAGAAAAGATGGAATTTCATTGTTGCCATCACAACCGGAGTAGGAGAACGTGAGATCGTGCTCTGAAGTGTCGCCGGTGAGAGAGTGTTTCAGTTCACAGTTCGCGAAATTTTTATTTTTCCTCCCTTATAATCGGTTGTGTAGTAATTTAATTAAACAGTAATAAACCGGTCAACCAGTACCGGGTTTACTTTTTTTAATCAAGTGCATTTAGGCGTATGCCTTTATAATACACCTTTATTTTAATCCAACGGTTGGTAATTAATCTAATTAATCCTACGGTTATTATTCTTAAACGAAACCATCCCGTTACGGGACTTTAGACGCTCCCTTCCTACATATACTAAAAATAATTTAATTGAGTCAAACAGCTAGAACTAGGTTAAGCATCTTTGTATTTTACCTTTTTTTTTGGGAGAAAAAGGAACTGATTCATTCGTGGTTCAGCTCGTTAACCGCACGATGTTTGCCCGGAATATTGCGGGTAAAGTCGATTGTTAACTACTTATTCTTTATTTAAACTTTTTATGAAGCAATCCAACACCTTAATAATTAGTATACGTTCCTAATAGAAAAGCAAGAAATTTTTTCACATTACATAATCGTAATACTTTGTACTTTTCAGAGTATTTCATTTATTCACGAGAAATCTTTTTCTTTTAACCAAAACGTGGTATATCTAACTTAGGCTCAAGCCATGGCTGTTAAGAATATGGAAGACTTATTAGGGGTAAAGAAAAGAAAGAAAGAAAACCGAGGACCATCATGCGATATCAGTTTTCATTTTTCATATGTGGACCATGGTAATGATTTAAAAAAAAAAAAACTTAGTTTCATTATCAGTTTGACCTCTGTAAGGATACTATGTACAAACTTTTAGTAAACCATTTTTCGATCACTACTCTAAAATGTTCTTTGTTTCGGGTTTCCATTATTGTCTTTCTACGACTCTATCCAATTATTCATGATCTTTCATTGGTAATATTTTAAGTTTCTCCGGAATTATTGGAACTCCTTCAAAGCTCAATCTTCCTTTATCTTGAGATTAAAGATTTTGTCTCGACTGTAGTCATTCCATCACATGATAACATTTGAGATCAATTCCATTCCAAGCATCAAATTTCAAGTCATGTTTTATGAACTAAAAGTTTTCCTTTTAAACTCTACCTATTAATATATATTCAATATATCCTAGATGGCCACTTTAGAAGTATATATTTCTTCAGAATTTCTTATTGCACATTTGGATATTTCTTGAAGATAATACAATAGAAAGAAACAAAATAAGCCACGGGCGGCTATCGAGACACTAGCATGCTTGTTGTCATTTTACCACTTACATCTTTGCCTCTACACTAGTTCGTTCAACGATTCTTAATTACATTGGTGTTATACTTGGTCATTGTTATTATCATCTTATTTTCCTAAGCTTTTTGGTTGAATTCCTTAAAACCACCAATGTTCCACATGTATAACATTGTAACATTTGGGACAAGGTTGCTATTTAGAGTCTTAACCTCATTCGTGAAAACTCTTTCCTTTCTTCTTATCATCATTCTGAAAGGGGTTTCCAAACTTCCCTTAAAAATTCTAAAATCATTGTTCGTCTTTTTTTTTTCCTTATTATGATGGTCCTAATCAACTGAAATTTTCAAATTATCAAAAAGTTATTATTATTACTGGTGTTGTTGCTTTTATTATTATTGCTATTATTATTATTAATATTATTATTATTATCATTATTATTATCATCATTATTATTATTATTGTGTATATGTTATCTTTTGCACATAAAACTTATAATATTTTAAACATTATATAATTTAGAATTATCAATTTTCATTAATAAATTATGGGTAATACATACGGAGTTCTCAACCATATATCCCACGCAGCTTATCATTTTGTTTCAAAGAAAATATTATGGATGAAACCTACCTCATCAATTTTACAGCCAAAATTTTCTCCCAGTAGAATTACGTACGAGCTCCTCAAGAGCTCGGTAGCTTGTTGACATTGATTTGGTCGGTCTTAATTAAGTTAAAACTTGTGCGTCATTGGAATATTTATATTCGGAAAAACGTCCAGTCCAATGTAATTCCAAACGGAATTAATTTGAACGTGGAATAATGAAATAGCACACACCAAGTGAAGTCGATCCACAACCTTAAATACTCCTGATCCAACATGGACATGTGATCCGTATTTTCCTTTCTGTCCAAAGCATATTGATTCAGACAGATAAATGGGCAAATTTAAAGCTTCTCTATGGTTATCGGTTGCAACGCAACTTGCTGAAATTATTTGCACAATGTACACTATTTATTTCCACCTCGCTAAATTAATGAGACCATCTAATTAATTTCGGGCACACGTGGAATTCAGAAATTTTCATGACCTCTTCAAAGCTATATACTCCCTACGTCCCATAATTATTATCCAGTTTGGGTTTTCATTTCTATTTCAAATTCTATTAAAAATGAAATCTTAAACTGAACAATAATTTTGGGACAGAACGAGTATTATTTTCGACAATAATTCTCGAGATTTTTAAGGGCATGATTGAAAGATCTGCGTGGTAGATTCTTTTTTTTTTTCGTAATATAGTGAAAATATGATAGCTACGGGTGCATGATAGAACATTACGGAAGAAGTAATAGTATTATATCTTTACTCTATAGCGGATATGTACCTCCATTTGCACAAAAGTCTATCACTGCCTTAATATCCTCACAAAACCACATGAAGTCACGAGGAAGATTGTTGGTATTATACTATATATTATTAAGTTTTGTATGTTACACTCACTACCCAAAGCCACTGTCAAAATGAATCCATAATTTGAATAGAAAATTCATAAAATATTTTCAATTTATATTTAATCATTGTTGGACTTCTATATCTGACTTCTAGCAATTGTTGTAACTAAGCTGATCGAGTAGCTATACAATTAAGACCAAGTATAGTTGTTGATTACATTGTTAATATTACTATCCACTTTTTTTTTTTTTTTTAAATGGTCTATCCACTTGTTTGTTTGAACCAGAGAATGGGCTAGGGGAGTTTTTTAGGACACACGCCCCACTTGAAGGCACCCACTGTTCGATCACGTTGCAAGCCAAATAAA